ACATGGATGGGGTAGGAAACGTGGAAACACCAACTTTTCCAAATTTTAAAGGATTTGGGTGTTGGGACATCCCAAAGTATCCAAACGGGGATGTTTCGGGAATGAGCAGCGGCACATTATTGGTCCTGTAAAAAAATACTGGGACATCTAGTTCAGATTTGTTGTTTAGCCTTGACTGCAAGCCCAATCCAAGTGCCATCCTTGCCCTGCCCCTGAAAACAAAAATATCTTGAGTTCCTTACCTTGATAGTTCGATCTGCTGACCCCGTACAAAACCATGTATTGCTGGGATCCACGGCAACAGACCGCACCCATCCCAAATGCCCACTGATGACCTATATATTAAGAGAATTTTCAATAACAAAAGAAAATATATCAGTCATACACATAGCAATTAGCAAAGAGAAAAGAAAAGATGGCACAGCATTACAAGCCAATGAAACAGCACAAAAATAGACAAATGCGTAGTATGAAATATATCTATCACTATCACTCTTACCTCAAATAGTCAAATAACCCATCTAAAAGAACATTAACTGAAGTGACTTACCCTGTAGTTCTTCCATGGAGGATGCCACACAGGGCGTGGCCATTTACTTGGTATCCTTTCCATTATAGCAGCAGTTGTGAGATTCCTGAATAAAAGGGGTGGAGATAGTTGTTTTGTAAGCATCATATAGGTCAAGTATTTATCATTGTAAATGGAATCCAGGGTATAAATTACAAATTTTTGTCACAACAACAACTAAGGCCTTGTTCTTTTGGGTTGGAAAAACTAACTTCCAACTTTTTCCAACCAGTTTCTTCGAACTCCTTCCTGTTTCTTCCAACGACTTAAAAAAAGTATTTATATATAATGAATATATGATATCATTATATATCCAAATTTATAACATACCACCTCAAATACGGATAATGATGAATTTTTTATATCCAAAATTAGATTTTTATTACATATTTATTTGGGTGATCATTTAATTGGGTGACTTTTCAACACTTAAATTCTTCCAACATTTTTCAATTCCTTCCCGTTTTTTCCAACTCTTTCCAGTTTTTTCTAACATCCAACTCTGAAATTCCAACCCAAAAGTTTGAATGTAAAATTCGGAATGCGAATAATCTAATTTGCACTTAATAATCACATCATGGGTATATAAATTCAGAATTTCAGATGTGGATAATCTTAATAGCCTCTAAACAATAGACAATGTTATTCAGAATTTCAATAACCTAATTCCTGATAATTCATTTCCTACGCTACTAGAAGGAAAATAAATGAAGAAAAATGGGTGCAACCTTTCGGAAGAAGGGTTTGAAAGAACAGCTGCAGTACTACTTTTGCTGGAGAAGCCATCCATTCTACAAAAAAAAAGTTTTACAATTGAGTATAAATCTTTGGAATAATTTTGCTTGCTTTCTATTTAATATTGGCACCAGACTTGAGACAACAGCAGCATTATTAGAACGTATATGCAAGGAACTTCAATACATATAGCATTGCTCTGTAGCTGGAACAAAATGAATGCAAGAACATGGAAAATCCCTAAGGAGTTAATTTGTACGTGGGGTGATTAAAAAAAACATACGTGCTCTTTGCTTGCAAAGTTGGACCAACAGCTAATACATTTTCTGAAACTGCCTTGTGTGGGTCTCTTGCATTCTCTGGACCTGGCAGGAAAATTAAATACTTAAATGTAATTCAAACAGCACCAACTTACTCATTTCGCTAGTGCAATGCAATTCAAGTAAAGATTAACTAATTAATCATTTAATAACACAGTTTAACTTCTATGTGATAAGTTAATAATAATAATAACTCTGGAAAAACATAATGGTTGCTATAAAAGAATTTACTTAGCAACTCACTCAAGAAATTTTAAGAAAAAACTATGGAAACATAAAATAAAGATCCTATGAGAACCATACCTGGAAGAGCGAGAGCATTTGAAGGGGCAGAAGGCTTTTGACCTTGACCTTCGGAACCCGCCTTTGAATTTGAACGAGATTGAGTTGTTATAGCTCCATATTCAAGATTTAGCTTAACCATCAAGCAAAAACACACCATTAAAATCCTCGATATAGCTGCAACAGATTTTGCACAAACACCATAGAAACTCAAAAGTATCCAGCATTATCTCCTAATATTTTAAATTGGTATTCTATTATCACTGCTAACCTTATGACTTGTTCGAATCTTCTTGCTGCAAAAACAGTAATGAATGGCACAATCAGGTCCTCAGTGTTACAAAAACGCAGTAAACAGATTCATTTGATCAGGCATAATCATACCTTTCGGGATCGGGAGGGGGGATATGGCCATGTAGGGGAGAGAAGAAATCTAGGGCATGCTTTTGAGATTTGAAGCTGAGCTTCTTTAGTGACTGTGGTTCTACTGGTAACTCGGATTCCATTGTTGCCACCCCTGGCATAGCCAAGTCTAACTTCTCACTGTGCCCCTTCCAGCTTCCGTCGGGATGCCCCTGGAATAGTATAAGCCCCAGGCTGCGTGCCGGCTGTAGCAGCACTAATTTCAAACAACATTCAACAAATTAACACATTAGCATTACACATAACACATAACCCAAATTTAAAATTTAATAAAGAAGTAAAAGAAATATCAAATACCTGGAATGATGAGATCAAAGCTCGAAAATAATGAAGATAGAATACTAGAAGATGGAGTCACGGTCTCGCGAAACTGACGGGAGTTTGCTCTCTTCTTTGCCTCTCCGGAGTCTGGCCTCTGCTTGAGTGCTTGACTGCTACTCGGGAATCACAGACGAGCGTCGAGCGGCGGCTGCGGCGGAAGTGAAGAAGAGAAAGTGAGATTCTGAGATCGGTGAGACGCAGAACCGCTCAACGCAGCGCAGCACCGAACCGGCAGAGAAAGTGAAGCACAGCGATTTTTTTTTCTTTTTTTTTTACTTCAATATTGGCTTGGGGTATTGGGCTTCCGATTGGGCAAGTGTTGGATTGAGCCGAAATGACACAAAAAATAACGAATTTTATGTCCCCGTTTTTTCTAAAAAAAAAAACATAATGACACGAATTTTATGTACATTTAAATAATTAAATGAAGAAAGACTAAAGTCTAAATAAAATATTAAAAATATGCTAAAATACGACTTTCATATTCTTACTCACGAAATTAGACTTGAGATGTATTTACATTGTCAAACATGTTAAGTATATTACCAAAAAATGTAGTAATGTGCACATATAGAGTGTCACATTACCAACACATTACTAAAGTGCGAACTTATATTTCTAAATAAAAATACGGAATCCTGTTTTCGTATTTTTTCTATGTTTTAGTCTTATTTAGAGTGATTTGCCCCAATTAAATCGACAAGAAATATAATTTTTTACCAAAATTTTTGAATTGAACATAATCCTAATACTAATTCAACCAATGCATAATTTTGATTAAAACAAGCTTAACACCAAATTAGGAGAAAATTCGAATTATAAATTTATCCACGCAAAAATATGTTTAACTTTCAAAACACAGAAAAATTATAAAGAGATAAAACTATGAAATTACCACCATTCAGCATTGGGAGAAAAATAAATGAAACCATTAAAGATTTAAGGTGTTAATTATTAAACATTTTGATTTTAAAGTCTTTCAAAATAATAAGAAGTAATAAAAAAACTTGTACAATGCCAAGTCGGTCAGGCGTAGCTACGGTCTGTTCTTTTCAAGTAATCGTTAGCCCTCATAACTCGTAATATGCTAGAAGCAATTTCTAGATTATACTCCGTGACAACTTAATACCAGTGTTATTAAGAAATCTAACATTTGGGGCATAGTTCCAGCGGCAGTGTGAGGTTTGTTCACTTGAAGGGTTATAGGTTGTGGCTTGGGCTAATTGGGCGCTCTGGAAAACTCGAAATACCTCTGTCTGGGAGCAGCGTGTGGTAATGCCGCGGGCTGTGGTTCAGATGATTCACTCCATGGTGGCAAGATGGAGAAGTAGGTTTGATGCTACTGGACAGGAGGGAGCCATTCTTCCCCCGCATGTTCGTCGGCCAGGTGTGTTGCAATGTTTTGTGGATGCAAACCTTTTCCCGCGGACTGGACAAGTTGGCTTTGGTGGAATACTACTTAGTCCCGAGGGTCAATTTCGGGCAGCGTGTAACAGACCTCTTTGTTGTGTTCAAGATCCATTGGTGGCGGAAGCTTTGGCATGTCGTGAAGTACTTTTGTGGCTAAGACGGTGTGGTGTGCGTGAGGTCGAGCTCTTTTCGCATTGTCTTAGAGTGGTGCAGTTGCTATGTCAAGAGGTTAGTCCCGATATTCCTTCATACTTTGGGGGCACCATTGATGGGTGTAGGGCTATTTTAGTTGAGTTTAATTTCATTTCTATAAATTTTGTTCGTCGTTCTTTTAATAAGTTAGCTCATGTTTTGGCTAGATGGTGTGATACTCACTTTGTTGTTTGGGATTACTCCCCCAAGTTTTCTTCTCTCATTGATGAATCAATAGAATTTCTTTTTTGTTTCAAAAAAAAAAACCAGTGTGATTATACAGGACCGGACCGAGTGGTCCGACCGGTCGAACCGCGACCCGGACACACAACCGGTCCGGTTTCAACCCCCCAAAAACTCGGAAAAAAACCGGTTTCACCCAGAAAAACTCATATTGACCCGGGACCCGTCTTCTCTGCCGGGTCGACCTCCGGCCCGGGTTTAAAATCATTGCTTAATACACGCCCCACTATCAACAAATGCCAAATTCAAGGTACAATGGAATTCTTGGTTATTGTATCCTTCAAATTTTATGGATCCCAAAAGTACATAGAATCTATTTTGTAAGGAGTGGACCTTATATGCCAATGCTCAAAGTAATTGTCATTATTATTGTTTACTGTTGTCTTTTTCTCTTATATAGTTTGTTGTTGGAAATTGTGTATATACACACACCATTTTGAATTGTTTCCCTTTTTTAAGTACCAAAAACAATGTCCTATTTGACTTTTTTTTAGAAAGACCAACAAAAGAACTTAGGCGCTTTATTTTAAGACAAAGGAGGCAATGACTTTCGTGGCATATGAACATACACTTACAAAAAAAATTCAAATATGTAAAATTACTCGTTTTAGTAATTTTGCATCACTAGAAAAATAAAATAGTTAGACATGACAAAATACGAAGTAATGAAATATAAATGTATACAATGAAGGATAATAGTGGATCTTATTGTCTATATATATAGTAATAGAAGTAAAATGCTTATGAAGACGGGTAGATGGATTCAATGTGCCCTATCTTGGAAGATATCCATGCTCATTTCACCCGGGTCTGTTGCTTGCAACTCCACCTGAACCCCATCCAATTCTCTCCTAAATTTATCTTTGGAGCTTGCATACACCATCTTGTTTCTCACACTGGCCGTCTCCGGAGACCTAATCACGATAACAATAACAAACCCAATAAAATCTTCTAAAAGTAGGGTCTGAGGAACCATGTGTTTATACAAACCTCATCTAATTTTGAAAGAGACGTTTCACAACTAGTAAAGATAATTTATACTATACTCATTTTTTTCTGAAACTTGTTTTAGTGGTATGATATTATGCATTACCTTTGAGGTGAGGGGTTTATATGTTAGAATTCAATCAATTATTTAGTTCAACTCAAGAGTCTATATACAGATTATTTTAATCTTGGACTTCCGAAGTAGGACGTGTTAGAATATAAAAAAAATTTCATGAACCACAACCACAAGCTTGAACTTTTGCTTGAATCGGTTAATTGGCATTATGTATAGAGGTTTACCAAAACACAAAGAAAATCCGACTCCTTTGCATGTTCTCTTGGGTCGTGAAATCGTAGTCGAAAACGGCGAATCGACAATCATCAGAGGGCAAACTGTTGGTGAAATCACGATGCGTCTCATTGTGACTTCCGAGTTTATCCACCACTACAGCCTGGCTTGATCTATCAATCTTGAAAATAATGTATCTGAAATTCCTCTTCGACTTCAGCTCCATAAACCTCAGCTTGCAATCACCGATCACCCCAACACCTGATGCCGAATTAGCCTAACAATAACAACAATTTACCAACATCATCTAAATTGTCTTATTCACAATATATCATATACCAATGGAGTATATTAATATGTACCCATTTTGCAACATAATTAAAAGAAAAAACAAATCGAATGAAGAGTATAACACATTTGCATATGAATAAAAGCATTACCATTATTACGTGTTTGTTGTTCTTAATATAAATGTTTTAATATTGAATAAATTACTTATATGTTCAGAATCTTGATTTGTGATATTTTGTGAAATAATCACGCATGGATTATTGAAGAAAAGGATGGGTTCTTAGCATGGTTTGTTTAATTTGTTATGAGGATGATAAAGAGATAGATGGTCTCTATGTAACACACATCATTCACATTATTCTTTATTCTTATTTTGCATGTGTGGGAAATTAAATCTACACCATTGGACACCTACATTTGTGAATCACCTCTCAATTACTCTTTTTTCTATTACACCAAATTAAATAGTTTGTTTATACCATTAATTAAATGTTCGTGTATGAAAAAAATATTAATATGAGTTTTTTCTCTCATTATTAATTAATTGAAATTAATTTTACATGCTAAGCCAATATTTTCTTTCCTAAAAATAAGAGTTAGGGTGTGTCTGGTACACAAAATGGACGAAATTAAAATGGAATTAAGAGTTGAAATTCTCTGAAATTGATTTAGATATAATTGATTTCTCCAATTTCAATTCATTTCCGGCATTACCAATTCCAAATTCACATATTTTTGTGCTCCAGAAAACAGAATTGAAATTACAGTCTCCAATTCCAATTTCATAATTTGAATTCCATGTACCAAACGGAGCTTAGAATTTGAAAGTATAAGCTTACACTATGTAAATGAGAATTTTGTTTTCAGTCAAAAGGTAATTATATTTAATAACCGAGTGCAGTTAATAATAAATAGCATTTTTTAATAAATCAAACTTCTGGTGAAAATATGAACATTGTCATATAAGCCAACAAGAGGGACACACTTGGTAGACCCACACAAATGTGTTCCCCCTTGCTCACCAAACACAAGAATAATGGTTGGTCGTAGAGCAAATACCCCTTCAAGCAGATACATCAAAAAGTTATATTGGAGCCTGCTTCTTAGCCAAAATCTCTTCCCGCTTTAGAACATGACATAGAATATCCTAGACTAAAAATCATGTCTGTATTAAACGCATGTAACTCCTTGCAATGGACGCATGCTCACCAAAAGTATATAAACAAACCTCGTGGCAGACTGGGCAGGGCTTATTAATCAGAAATAGAGGGATCAATAACCAATACTTAAGAATTAACCGATACTCCAGAGCTCATGACATGTTTTGGCCTGGTACACCACTCTTTGGCGAGGGGATAAAAATAATTTCTCTCCTAAAATTCTAAACGATTCTACTAAATAATGCACTCGTCAAAACATTCTGCGTTTTAGATGGCAATGTCCTTACTAGAGAAATTGGCAAAATAAAAATCCAAAAAGAACCTATGCAAGCAAACTAGCGCAGATCTAAAATCAGAATCAAATCCAACAATACCACAATCATAAAGAATGTGGTCTTGCAAACTCCAACATATTGGTTGAACATAGACCCAAACCTCAATGCGAGCCTTCCCGGAGACCTTTGTCTACCGTTTTCACTTTTTTTTTTTAAAAAAACCACTCCCCTAAACACATAGACATGTGCATAGCGCCATAGCCTTTACCCGAAACAAGTTTCAAAAGCAGAAAAGAAAGAAACAATGATTGGCCGATTTTTATAGAGCAACGGACCGAATCCAAACCCCTCTTTCCATACTGGTCATCCAAAAGTCCAAAACAGACTGTTCACTGAATCGGGAAATGAAATAATATCTTCATCGTTCGAGGAAAGGAAGCTGTGTAATGAATGAAATGGAGGAGAAACCATTACCGCCACATCGCTAACTCCTCCTGAGATTCCTGAATCGGTCAGTTCACCTCCCTCCATTTTCACTGCATGTCCTTCTGTACATTTGACGCCCGTAGAGATTTGATTGTGCATGCTGATTTATACGGGTAGTGTTTTGAGCTCTAATTGCGATATTGAATATGTGCGTGTTGGTTGTTTTAATTTTGAGTTGAAACTCGAGATAGAATGAATACTACTGCGGACAAATAGGTAACATTTGCTCTGAAATTCATGTTTTCTGCCATCAGGTGTACAGTTTCAGGTGAATGATCGGCCTTTGTTTTTGTCGCTCATATAGATTTGATTGTGCATGCTAATTTATACGGAGTAGTTAATTCCGCTCTAATAGCAATATTGCATATGCGTGTATTAGTTGTTTTTTAAGTGGAAACTCGAGATAGAATGAATGTTACTGCGGAGTGGTGAAAATATGTTGCTACTACAACTCCTCATGTAAATAGGTAACATATATCCTTTGAAATTCGTGTTTTCTTCCATCAGGTGTACGGTTTCAAGCGAATGATCTGCTGCTGTTTTTTGTGAGTGAATTTGGTCTGCTTCGTGTATTAGACTAGTGGAGAACAAATGGGCTTTGCATATTGCCTTTCTCAGCCGTATATGGCACATTGTAGCTGTGCTGTGGATTTTCGAATATTCAATCAACCAATCAAATTGAAAGATTTTAAGAGTGTATCGGCAGGAAGCTCGGGAGTTTTGTTTAGAAGTATCCAGAAGAAGGGGTTAAAACGAATCACTGCTAGCCGGGACCAAGGTGTATTCAATTCAATGGTCTTATTCAATCATCATTTGTGCAAGTCCACTGCCGGTGGAAACATTGTGTGTTTGAAGGAAATCAAGGAATACAGTGGAGCAAAATTATATAGATGCCAGGGAAATGATTCGATATCATATGTTAGTGGTCCTGTTGGGGATTCCGATTTCACTGAGAGTGCTAATGATGGAAACCTAATCACTGACACTAACTCCATTGTAGAAGATAGCAGTTTGAGAGCGGAACACCAGGAGCACAATGAAGAGGCAGATGAACCTAGTTTGGATGATTTAAGGGAGCAGTTCCAGAAGGCCCTCAAGGATTTGGAGATTGCACGTATTAATAGAACCACAATTGAAGAGAAAGCTCAGAGGATATCTGAGGCATCAATACTGCTGAAGGAAAATGCAGTAAATGCTCGCAAAGATGTGAATGATGTTCTTAATACTATCCAAGAGACAGTAAATGAAGAAACGACAGCTAAAGAAGCTGTGCAAAAGGCAACCATGACACTTTCTTTGGCTGAGGCAAGGCTCCAGGTGGCAGTGGCATCGATGGAGATCTCAAATGAAAGTAACTTGCCCACGGAAACTTCTGGAGACAGCAAAGTGGAAGCAGAAGCTCCACTAGAAGAGGACAACGAACTGATTTTGGCTGCTAACAAAGTGTATGTAAGAGAGTGCCAAGACTGTTTGGCCAATTGTATTGCTGGAGTGAGGCAATTACAGAACAAGAAGGAAGAGTTACAGAAAGAAGTTGAAAGGCTGAATGAGGTAGCTGAGGAAGCAGAAATGAAAGCTCTCAAGGCAGAGGAGGATGTGGTAAACATAATGCTTTTAGCAGAGCAAGCTGTTGCATTTGAACTCAAGGCTATACAAAGTGCAAGTGATGCAAAGATTGCATTACAGAAAGCAGAAAAGACCCTTGCGATTTCAAGTTTTGATTCCGCAGAAGCTACAAATGATCAGGTGTGTGTTGAGGTGGGTTCTCTTGAGAATAATGTGAATGAGGGAAATCGAACAGATGCTGAAACACTAGGGGAGGTGTCAACTGAGGATACTGATGTAACTGCAGAACCATTGCCAAACAACCAATTTCATATAACTGGTCACATGACTGACGAGGCACAGTTATTGGATGATAGTGTAAAAGAAGACTGTGAATTAGATTCAGATAAATTAAAAAATGTTCAAAGTAGTAAAAAAAAGGGAACACAGAAGGAGTCAGTCAGGGATAACTCACTATTAAATGCTCCAAAATCCTTACTGAAAAAGTCTTCCAGGTTCTTTTCTGCTTCTTTCTTCTCCTTTTCAGCAGATGGTGAAAAATTCACTCCGGCTTCAGTGTTTCATGGTCTGGTGGAGTCAACAAGGAAAGAATTGCCTAAATTGGTTGTTGGCTCATTGCTCTTGGGAGCTGGGTAAGAGTGACTATTGATATGGTTTTTCCTTGTGGTATTCCTTGTAAACAAGTGTATTTGCAAAAAAAGTGTAGTGCTTGTACTTTCCTGGTTAAGTTTTGATATTTGCTAAGTAGAATTGTGATAATTTGCCAATGTTGCTGACATTTGACATGCTTCTGAAAATTTTCCCAGATTTTCCTTCTATATCAACCGGGCTGAGCAAATTGCTAAGCTATTTCAGCAGCCAGACATCATTACTACTAGTATTGATGAGGTTTCAACAAACACAAAGCCCCTGGTTCGACAAATAAAGAAACTGCCCTACAAAATTAAAAAACTAATCAACAAGCTTCCTCATCAAGAGGCATGTTCTCAAATCATTCAATTAACTTCTGTTGTCTTAGATCCCATCTTGGAATATGTGTAATGCTTCCATACTTCTACCTCATGATGGAGGTTTCTTCACTTTGTAGATAAATGAGGAGGAAGCATCCCTTCTTGATGTGATCTGGCTACTGCTTGCTAGCGTTGTGTTTGTGCCTCTCTTCCAGAAAATCCCTGGAGGTAAAACAACTTCTGTCTTATTCACGAAGTGATAACTGTCTCAGCTTATGCTGAACACATGGTTTTCCTTTTTCTTATGCAGAATTGAATTTGCCTCTTATAGTTTTCATGGGCTGGGTACATGCTGTAGGCATTTTATTGTCTGCTTATAGTTCATCTCATGTGTGCTGCAATGTTTAGGAAGTCCTGTTCTCGGATACCTGGCTGCTGGAATCTTGATTGGACCTCATGGCCTTTCTATTATTCGTAATGTACATGGAACCAAGGCAATAGCTGAATTCGGAGTTGTCTTCTTGCTATTTAATATTGGCCTTGAGGTGGGATTTGAAAAGATAGGAAATAGAGGCTTTTACGCACTGTTCTATGTTCTTGTGTTTAACCATTATGTAATGACTGAAGTGTTTTGATCTTTATATGTCAGCTTTCTGTGGAGAGGTTAAGTTCTATGAAGAAGTATGTTTTTGGTTTGGGCACTACTCAGGTCACTACCATTAGATTGTCTTTAGTAAATATGAGTTGTTACATGTTTCCATTCTGCCTTAAACACAACATTTTATGTGCACAAGCAAGTGTAGGTGTTAGTGACAGCTGCAGTGGTTGGCTTGGTGACCCATGTTGTCGCCGGACAGCATGGTCCAGCAGCAATTGTCATTGGGAATGGTCTTGCATTGTCCTCCACTGCTGTTGTCCTCCAGGTTAGCACTGACCTCTGTTTAGTAGGCCTTGCTGAAGGTTCTTGATTTTATTGTCTTTATTTTTTCTAATGAAGCTAAAATTTATTGCTGTATCTGAATTCTGAAATCACTATCTGCATTTAGGATATTAACTCATTTGTGTAGATGACTTCAATCCTGTGAATTAGAATGTGATTGAATGATATGTTTTGTTTCCTTTCACACCATGGGTCGGAGAATATGATTTCATATTTGAAAGATGGATATCGTATATAGGTAAGGCACATGCTTTTCAAATATCACATTCTCATATTCTCATGCCCCTAGCCAGTAGGCCACCCGTTGAATGATGGATGAACATAGGCTCCAATTGTTTTGTGCAGTACACTTTCCACAAAAGGTTTTTCCAGATTTTCATGTGTTTGGGGCAGAATTTTTTTGTCCAGAATGATAACATTTTCATTGCTTCTTTCTAACTTGAAATATGAAGAACTGGCTGTTTTTCTTTCTTTTGTGGGTTAAGCATTATATATTATATGCAGAACAATTTATTATATTCCGTCTAAAAACATTTTCTTCAACAACTATTTTCCAGCAAACAAACAGCGGTTGTGTAAACTTTGGGGTTGTAGACTTGTATTGATGGGCCTAGCATATCTTGCATTTTTTTGCATACACAGAAACACTTGACTACCTTTTGTTCACAAAGAAAAAACTTACTACATCCGTCCCATTGTGTTCGAGACAAACACTTTTGGCACGCCAACTAAGAAAGGGGGAATTGTATGTTTGACATTGCATTTATAGAGCTTGAATTATTATGAGCCACATACAAGTTGCCAAATATGGTACGGGGCAAACACTTTGGGGTGAACAAGAATGGTAAAATGGGACAAATAAAATGAGATGGGAGTATTAAAGAAAAAAGGAGTGTCCATTCTGAAATCATTACTTGTTCATGATGGTTGAATTACTTCATGAATGGTTGAATACCATTTTGAAGGCATTTAAGGTGAAAGTAGAGGAATGTGTGCAGGTGTTACAGGAACGTGGTGAAAGCACGTCACGGCATGGACGAGCAACTTTTTCTGTACTACTCTTCCAGGTATGTGCATACTTGAAGAACTTTCTTGATTCTTAGATTCTGTATTGATACACATATCTTGCTACTTTGGACATTGATTCTAATTGTTCTAATTTTGCTTATTTGTTTTCATTCTCTTCAGGATTTGGCAGTGGTTGTTTTGCTTATATTGATACCTCTAATCTCACCAAATTCATCCAAAGGAGGGGTAATTTCCTTTTGCTGATCTTTTGAGTTTAACTTGTGAAGTCTTTCATATGATTTTTTCTATGCTTCTATCTTGACACCATATTTTGATCACCTATCCTCATTTATACCGCTAACCTTAAGGTGGTCTCATTTACTTTTGAAAATTTGTGGTTCTCAGGTTGGTTTCCAAGCCATAGCTGAAGCCCTTGGATTGGCTGGTGTCAAAGCAATTGTAGCTATTACTGCAATTATTGCTGGTGGACGATTGGTAAGCATATAAATGTTGAAAATTTAGGGATTATAGTAATTTCCATGCATTTTTTTGGTTGCTGATTCTTGTAAAGATAATTTCTGTAATTGAGGGAATATTTTTATTCCATTCATGTTTGCTGTTATGACTTTTGACATCGTCAACTTTGGCATAAGCCGCGCAACTTGTCTCAAAAGACCCTTAAGAAATTATGTTTATCTTTTTCTTATATATATGAGACTCAAAATCCTGTAGACAACCGATGTAGGATGCTCAACTTCTGAGTAGGGTTAATGTCTGCATCCACACACCCTCCCAGACCCTACCTTCGTGGGATTCTACTGGGTTGTTGTTGTTGTTGTTGACGAACGGGCCTAAACCAAACCCAAGTGGGCTACCCAAAGCATCAAGTAGGTGGGCACTCTACAAAGCACTATTGGACCAGGCTATGTTAAATTGGATCTAACACATACACCAGACTCAATCCCGGGGCACTCAACATACATATATAGGTTTCATATATTTACAACAACAACAACAACCCAGTTGAATTCCACAAGAGTAGGGTGGGGAGGGTGTGTGTATGCAGACCTTACCCCTACTCGAAAGTAGAGAGGCTGTTTCCAAAGAGACCCCTGGCTCAACGTCGAAAGTTGCATTGCTTGACTAACTGCTACTTCATTAATTAAAGAAGCGCAGACAGTTCTGAAATCCATTTTGATTTATTCCATCACACTCCAAAGCCAAAAAATGGTGAAATTTTGGCTCCATCGGAGATGATGGATAAGATAGGTTTCATATATTTCTAGATGCAAAACCTTTATCTTTTGGATTTCAATGATTTGCAGCTGCTTCGACCAATATATAAACAAATTGCAGAGAATCAGAATGCAGAAATATTTTCTGCTAATACACTGCTTGTTATTCTTGGTACCAGTCTCCTAACTGCAAGGGTAGGTGTCATCTATTTTTCTTGTATTGACTCATTAATCAGGAGTTGTTGCTAAAGCTTAAACGTCTCTCCTAAATTTCAATGTTGATCAACAGGCTGGCCTGTCTATGGCTTTGGGTGCCTTTTTGGCAGGTTTACTTCTGGCAGAGACTGAATTTTCATTGCAGGTTGAATCAGATATCGCTCCATACCGTGGCCTTTTGTTGGGTCTTTTTTTCATGACGGTATGTTCTTGCATTTGCATACACTTAACAGATGCATCCACATATTGAGAATATGAACGTAGCAGCTTGCACATCAACAGAACCTTCGTGTCACAGCTCATTTTATGTGCCATTTTGTCAATGACAGTCTTAAAAACAATATTTTGGGGTGGAGGTGGTGAAAGAATGTTTCAAAACATAATCCCAATTTTTCTATACAATTAGATAGAGCATTCTTCACTGCTGTAGCCCCTCCAACAATCTGAGAAAAAGAGTCTGTGGTTGGTTTCTAAGAGAGTTTAAGTACAAAGCTTTCTCTCTTCCTCTACAATTTTGATTCCATGCACCTTCTCTTCTCTCTATTTTACCTTGATTTACAGGGTATTTTTTAAATCTAGGAATGATAAAGAAGTTATATCCAAAAGAATTTATTTATTTTTAAGAAACCAGTTTTGGCTAAAGAATAGTTTTAAGAACTGGTTTTATTCAGGTTTGGCTAAAGCATATTCAATCATCTAAGATCTGAAAGCAATATTACTTCTAATGCTCAATTGAAAATTTGAGTTATCCTCCAAAGTTGCTTTCTTTCTCCATTCTTCTTTGTAATATTTTTGTGATTTTCTCAAGATTCATGTTATACCCGAGACCCGGGGTATAATCAAGTTGCTATTTGAAGATGGAATTATGGGATGGTGAAGAGGAAATGAGGGAGACAAAATATGGGGGTGGAACAAAGAGTTGTTTTTTTGGGTTTTTGATGAAAGAAAAGAATAAGTTCAAGAAGAAGAAATGGTGAGAAATGAAATTGGCAGAGGTAAAGTGAAGGGATAAACCAAGTTGGTGTTTAAGAGATATTACACACTCTTATCTTAACTTGGGGTTAAGTCTAGAACTTAATTAAGATATAACANGGGCGGTGTTTCACGCCTCCGGGGCGTTAAACGCCCCGTAACGCCGGTGGGCGTGAGGAGTATACCCAGTGCTCTTAGCTCTAACTCTGTAGTGTGAAACTGTGAATAACTGAACATATAACATTCTTTGCTGGCCTTTCTCGGCGTCTGAACGTCTTTATAATACGAGTATAAAGGATCGTATTCATTTGACCATTTATATACGGAGTATATATTAACGCCGATATATTCAACGACCAAAGTGTCTTTACAGTAGACATCTAAGTAGACATTTACCGTACCTAATTTGGCCAAGCAACATTATCCCATGTATACTTAAATTTGGTTATATTCTATCCCTAAAAAATGGATACAATTTGACTTTTTTTATTAAACTATGGCACCTTTGGACCCGAATCAAAGGGGTAATAGCATGGGTGCCCCTCGTGGTTTACAAAAGAAGCGTCAAAACCCCCTCAACTTTCAAAAATTATTTGTAAAACCCCTGTGCTTTTTAAATAGTGCACAAACACCCCCTCTTGCCTATTTTAGACATGAAATGACATTTCTGCCCTTGGTTTTTCTCTATTTTCAAATTTCACTCGTTTCACTCTTTTCTGTAATTAAAAATTTTCATTTATTTAATTTTCAAAAAAATAATTTTTTTAAGAAAATGTTACAAAAATGAAATAAAATACACTTTTTCATTATAAGTAAATGTAAAATAAATAAAATAAAAAATTAGATAACATATACTAACTCTATCTCTAATTAAAAATTCTAACTTATTTATTTTTTAAAAGTAAAACAATTTTTTTAAGGACTTTAAAAAATGAAGAACAGAAAGATGAAATAAAATATGGAGTTAAAGAAAAAGACTATTTTTTATATTTTTATTTATTTTCATTACCTTTTTTAACTATTATTTTTACTTTGTAAATAATATTTTATTTTTCATTTTCTTTTGTAATATTCTCCAAAAAAATCTTTTGTTTTCAAAAGTACATTATGAGAAATTCTAATTTGATATGGGAAGCGTATATTTTATTTTATATATTTTTATAATAAAGGAAATTGAAATTGAAAAAATTCAAAATCGGGGAAAACAAAGGGCATAAATGTCATTTTTACTTTAAAAATAGGTAAAGGGGGCATGTGTGTTTTATATAGAAACCACAGGGACTTTACAAATAACTTTTGAAAACAAAGGGGGTTTTGATGACCTTTTTGTAAACCAGGAGCACATATGCTATTAACCCTCGAATCAAATATAATTTAAAGTTATTAAATACTCCGTATTATAAAAAATTAGTATTTTAAAACTATATATATTTTGAAATAAACCCAAATTTACTAAATTTATAATATACTACGTAACTAAATATACTTTTTCTATAATTCACGGTCAGGTAGGATGTAACAACTTTTTTCTGTACTTATAAATTATAAGCTTGAGTATTTGGGAATACTTAGTTGATGGTACTTTCAATTTTATTTGAATGAAAATTTGTATAAGCCGTACATATAATATAGTTATTGTTTTATTAATGATTAATTCGTACAAATAGTATACGTAGTTCATATCATGTGGCTTCAACCACTATATATAATTACTATTACCTCCGTCCCGCTATATTTGTCCACTTTTAACTTTTAAAATTGTTCATTTAAGCACTTTGACTCATCAAATTCTCTCAATGTATAAGCCTAAATATAGTCATGTGTGATCTTGTTTGATTTGTCTTAACATATAGATTATTAATATATAATTTTTATAATTTTTTAATATACAAATTACAAGATAAAATGGATTAAAGAAGTGTATTAGATGGTGTGTAAAAATGAAAGTGGACAAATACTCTGGGACGGAAGGAGTATAAACAATTAATTAATTGAGATGGAGTTTCAACCGCAAAATTATTACTCCGTAAATCCGTAAATAAATTAAAACGTACTCTTCGGTCCATATCTTCTCAGTTTTACTCTCAACATTATTATTTTTAGTTCGTAGTGAATGCATGTTCAAGTTACGGAGTACAATCTAAGAATATTATAGTGGCGTGTGTGCAAGAAAAAAAAAGAAAAACGACTAGAATTTCTCATGCCTTAGGCTCTTATCTTTTCGATTGGAAAAACATAGTTGGATGTTAGAAGAAACTTGAAAAAATTTGAAAAAATTGGAAGGTGTTGGAACAAGTTGGAAACAACTCGAATGAATTGGAACATTCGAGAAGGAGTTGGAAATTTTTTGATAGAGTTTACAAAAATAATTTTTTGAAAAAAATTATTTATTTTATTTTATAAATTTGATATTTTATTAAAGAAATATATACTCTACTTTTAAAAATTTTAATCTCTTTTGATTCTTTTTATGCCATTTTATTTTATCCCAAATTAGATTTGTAATTTTTTCATGACTCACACTTTTTCTTTATTTTTTAAAATCAATATCAATCATATACCTTTTTATTTTTTATAGTTGTATGTCACTAATCTACGGAACAAACGGAACGGATCGGTATAAATTTAAGTTGTCTCGCTCATGTCTCATTTGATATTGGGACGAAACGGGTTCGGGATAAAAAACATGTCCCAATATATCGGTACAATTACAAAACGGATTCGGGATTTTTCAGAACGGTCTAACGGGCCGGGAATATACCCTCACTTTATTAGTTCACAGTAATATAAAATACTCTTGCAATATTTTTTTATCGCATTAATATTTTTTTTGTCATTATGAGCTATCAAAATGATAATACACATCTGTAATATATAAAATGGGGTACGCTCTTTGGATTAGAAGTAACATGGTGGTATAATCAATAATTTGCAAAGTACTCCGTATCACTTTAAAGTTAGTTTGAGCACTGCAAAAAAAGTTTGACACCAATAATTTTTTTTAATCACCAATAAGTTTGACAGCAATAATTGAAAGCAACCAAAGTCCCCATTTCCTAAATTCTTTTTTCTTTAGTCATTTCTATTTCAATTATTTGAAATGGTTCTACTGATAAGCATAAGATGATAAGAAAATAGAGTCTGTTCATAATCACCACAGCCAAAATTTGACCTTTTCCTTCAGTACCCCAACTTTATACAAATCATTCCTAAATACTCTTAGCAGCATTCATAACAAAAAATCCAAAGATTAATAATAATAATAATAATAATAATAATAATAATAAAAGAAATAGGGACTTGTAAGTTCGTTTCTGTTATTCACATTTTGGCTGTTTTTGCAGCGCGAGAAAAGAATAACGAAATTTGATATTTTCCACCCCTGCAACTCTATATGGGTGAGGGAGGAAGAAAGTGGCCCAGAAGATCTGATCACTACTGGCCCGACCCGATCCACATTCATTGTCTTCTTCTTCTTCTTCTCTATTTTTGTGTACTATACATTTGAACCTCTCTGTTTTTTTTTTGGTAAAGAAATTTCAAGAATCGAAATAAAATGGAGATTTTAACAGATCGTAAGGGGCCCAAAGAGCATCCAATGGACAAGGCCTGTTAGCGTCGAGCCGGGCCCATGGCTTCCCTTTCCCACTCCAATGGAGAAGGCTCACCGGCCCGGGATGCAAATCCCGGCACAGTCCCCTGAAATTGTCCCCTCCTAGCCCGTGTTGGTTCCACCGGTGATCCACCGGAGCTATTTTCCCGGCGAACACCAGCAGAAACGGCGGCAGAGATCCCAGCTCGTAGATCCTGATCCTCTTCTGGAGCTCCATCCATTCCTCGATTTTCGTCGTGTAGTCCCCTGCTCTCCAGCGATCGAGATCTATCACCATGACTCCCGTGTTGAAGTAACAGGCGTTTCGATTCGCGAAGGTGAGGGACAGCGAAGGATTTGACCAGAACGTCGGCGTGAAATAGGACGTGAAATTGGCGTTACAGTACTCCGGCGCGGCCAGGACTCGGTCCTCTCCGAGAGGCGTGGCGGCGAGCTTCGCAATGTCGTCGACGAGGACCAGATCGGAGTCGAGGTAGACGACTTTCCTCACGCAGTGGGGCAAGATGTCCGCCAGGTAGCTGCGGGCGTAGTTCAGGGGGCAGTCGAGGGCGGAGCGGATGGAGGTGGAGATCAGCCCCGCGACGGAGGAATCGTCGAACCGGTAGACGCGGAACTTGAGGAAGGGGAAAGAGGACGCGATCGTGGCGCGTAGGAGCGACGCGTTGGCGGAGGCGGATGCGACGAAGTGGAAGACGGCGTTCTGGGGGCAGGAGGAGTGCTGGATGATGGAGAGGATCGCCGCCATCGAGCCGCGGAGGTAGGCGCCGTCGAGCGTCATCGCCACGTGTACGGCCTCCTCGGAGCACAGGTATGCGGCGGCGGCGGATTCAAGATCGCCCTCCTCAGTTGCGGAATCTACGGAAGGGCATTCCGGGGAATTGTAAAACTCCGGAGCTTCTCGGAATAGGCCGGCGGCATTTGTGGAAACGAAGACAAAAGTGAGGAGGAGGAGGTGGAGCAGGAATATCATGCTGCGGCGGCGGTGGCGGTGGGGGAGCGGAGGTGGTTTAGGCCCCATGTGGACGAAGAAGGTTCTTCCCTAATTGGGAAGGGTAAGACCAGAGAGGCGGAAGTAGGATTTATATAAATATATATTTATAATAAAAAAAGTTGAAAGATTGGACCACACGGTTTTGAGTGAGGAGAGGACGAAGAAGAACTAGGAGTAGAATACGAGTATGAAATTTATAACAAGTGCATGAAATTAGGGGTATAGAACTCGTCATCCACCTTCTTCTCTATAAAATAAAAATTGCATGAAATTTGGAGAGAACCCTCCACACAATATATGATAAGATATCTCATGGATACCCTTGAATGAGGGTATCCGACCCAACAGAAAAGCGGCTCAGCCCAACTGTGCCTAGGCCCATCTAGGTGGGCAAAGGCGGGAGGAAACTGAAGTCTCAGGAAGGCCACTCCGCACCAAGTCATGCTCGGCCCCGGCAGACTTGGTCGGCCTTGCACCATCCTCGGCCGGCCTTCCGTCAGGGAACTTTGGGAGACAGATTACTCGGCCTCGGCCCAAGGCGTCAACGGACCAGAACCATAGGCATGGGGCCTGCCCAATCAGTCAAGATCAAGGGACTCACGATTGGACCCCTGCCACACCTCTCGCAGAGTTGTTCTAACCACCCTATCTGTAACCTATTTTGTATAGCCGCCCTAGGTAATGATGTGGTTAGGCGCCGCCGATGAACAACTCAATCTTAGTGGGCCCGAACCGTTGGACTCTGGACCAATAGTCGGGAACCCTCAGTTGTAGTTTGCATATAAACCCTTCCCGGAGGGAAGGAATGAAGGACAATTCTCATTCACACAATAATACTTACAATCTACTTGATTCCCAACTTGTGCACACTCGGTTCGATACTCTTCCGCCTAGTCTCCTAGGCCCCGGGTTCCTTAACCCAACAATATCATTTAAGAAATTTTGGAGGAATGATATGACTTTTAAAATCTGAAACAAAGTTGTTTGAAGAAATTCAAAATCATGATTTAATTAGTGATAAGTGGAGGAGACCGACAACATGAGTTGTTGGTGGTAACAATGGTAGCCGATGACGGAGAATGATAAATAGTTGAGAGAGATATCAAACTCTCATCTTAATATCTCTAAAATTAAGGAGATATCAAAATCCTCCATTTGAAAGATTTACGATATCTGAAGATATCAAAATCGATATCTTTTTTGGCTTCACCAAACATCTAAAAAGAATTTTGATAATTGGAGATATCAAAACTCATATCTTGTTTGCTCACCAAGCACATACACCCTTAATTAGAAAAGAAACTCACACTTACAATAACAATAACAATAATAAATAATTAAGTCTTAAAGGGAACTACACATTTCTAGTGGTCAATAAGGGTGTAGAAGAGTGTCGTAATCAGATTAGACTCATAGCGGAGACTTAATATGATTTATGCATAAAAATTCCTGTTGGGATTAGGAAGATAGCTCACTTGACCGAGATATAAGATTCATGTGCCTACCCTAACTATCAGAGCAAGGTGTGGGAGGACCTAAGACGAGGTTCACCTTTTTTAACTAATGAAAAAAATACGTACTATTCTCTTGACTTTAAATACCAATTTCATAATTATGATAGTAATTTATTTCAGACACTTACATTGTTTCATTGTAGCCATAGGTAAATCTCACCCCCCCCCCCCTAATTGCCAAATCTTCCTCCAAATTCTCTTCACCTCTTTTTCTCAACCCAGCTCTCCTATGGCCTATCTCCCTTTATCTCCAATTTGTTACTACCTCCATCCCAGAGTATTTGTCAACTTTCATTTTTACACACCATCCATAACACTTCTTTAATCCATTTTATCTTGTAATTTGTATATTAAAAAATTATAGAAATTATATATTAATAATCTATATGTTAAGACAAATCAAACAAGATCATACATGACTATATTTAGGCTTACACATTGTAAGAATTTGATAAGTTAAAGTGCTTAGATGAACAGTTTCAAAAGTCAAAACTGGACGAATACTCTGGGACGGAGGGAGTACAAAATTTATTGTACCAACGCCACGATGAAGGGAGAAAGACGTAAAGTATGGGGCTTGGGCAGTTCAAAGAGATTAAGAGTGCCTAGGACCATGTTCTCCTCAATATTTTTATTTATTACTTATTTTTATTGGAATCAGATCATATTATATTAGAAATAATTTTAAATATAACTACATTAAGATCAGATCAGTTTAAATCAAAACTTATTTCAATCAGATCAGAGAACATCACGTGAATCACTTTTGTGTTCAACGAAGCATTATATGTGTGCATTGTTAAATGAATCGTTGTCAAATAAATTGGAGGGGGGGGGGGGGGGTGATTTTTGGAAACTCACCATGTGATGCGTTAATCATTTATTTGAATCTATAGCTAATAAGGTGTATATGTACTAAAAAAAAAGGTGTATTAAATCACGGCAACAAAAGTGAGGTTTTGTAAGATTTTGGTTAAATTAAGAAATATTTGCACTAAATAACACTAAAAGTTAAGTAATTTCCGTAAATAACATTTAAATTGTTTTATTCCCTAAATAGTACTTAATAATATCCATAATGTCTAGTGATGACAAATATTTACTTGAATAATGACTAATCCATAATGTCTAGTGATACATTGGAAAGAAAAACACATGTAGTGCTATTTAAGGAAAGTCATTATGTTTTAGTGTTATTTAAGTAAATTTTTCTTAAATTACTTCGAAGGGAAAGGCAAAAAAAGAATGCACCTAGATCTATGAGAGGATAGGGTCTCTAAATAGTCATATAGTTTAATTGGGAAAAGTAGTTTAAACTTTAAGACTCTCTGTGTACACATAATTCAAACTATAGAATTAGAATTAGAAATAATAATTTTAATATTTTTGATTGGTAGTACCAGAATATATAAATTTTGAATTGCTAATACCAAACATGAGTTGAATCAATTATTGACTTCTCATTAAGTGTTTCCAATTTACTTTATTGATGACTTATAAGTGAAGTTTAGAGGTACCTTAATGAAGGGGTCGTAGGTGTTCCAAATTTACTTTATTTGATGACTTTTAATCTTTTAAGTAAAGTTTAGAATTAACTTAATGTATAGTACTTGTACTTAAATTACATGGCCTAGTGAATTAATCCAAAGGTGATCACCCCCAATCATCGCCTAGTGGGATTTTAATTAACATACAATTAGCTCATTTGCATTATAACTTTTGGCAACTAATTGCGCGCATTAGTTGCTGATTACCGCAATTTCTTCCCATCTCTGGCCTAATTTGACCCTTCTCTTACTCCATCCCAAACCTCTATTTCTGGTTTTCACCTGGCCCGTTTTATAAAGTTACTATTCATTTAATATTAATTACTATTTCATTAATTATTTAGGTTGTAAAAGAATTTATTCATTATTTATATATTTCTCCAAAAGATGAAATTTTAATTAGAGCACTGGCTGTGGCGTGGCTGTGCCACTGCCACGCCTGCCACATAAGCCAAGCAAGCAAAATGCCTCGCAAGAATGTAGAAATTTGACATGCATGGCAAGTAATGGGCGAGGCAAGTCAGGCAACTATTTTTGTTTTCTTTTCTTTTTTCCTCCATAAAATAGAAGATTTTTAAAAGGTAGATATATTTTTTTTTGGAAAAAACCTAGGTAAATTCATTTTTAATACTTTGTAGTAAAAATAAGACATGTAGAAAATGTAAAATTTGAAAAAAAACGTAATTTTTTTTATTTTTTTAGTTTATTTTTTAAATAAGAAATATTTTTAAAAAGAGTATAGTTTATAAAAATATAAACAAAATAAATTTAAATAATTTAAATAATTTTTAAATATTTTTATTTTTTTATTTGAAAAAATATAATTAGAATAAATTTAAACAATTAAAATTAAAATGTGTAAAAAAAGTAAAATTGATAAAAACAATTACTTGCCACTGCATAACATGCCACTTCACTCTCATGCCACACGCTGACTAGACTGTTTTTTATTTGTTGAAACTTTTTATGTCATCGTGTGTCATTTTATTTCTTACTTGCCATTGTGAATGCTCTTAACAATAGTATGCTGACCAATTCTTATTATTATTATTACTATTGTTATTATTATATTGATCATCTAGAATGTTGAATAAGATTTACTCCCTCCGTCCCGGAGTATTCGTCCAGTTTTGACTTTTGGAACTGTTCATCTAAGCACTTTGACTCATCAAATTCTCTCAATATGTAAGCCTAAATATAGTCATGTGTGATCTTGTTTGATTTGTCTTAACATATAGATTATTAATATATAATTTCTATAATTTTTTAATATACAAACTACAAGATAAAATGGATTAAAGAAGTGTATTGGATGGTGTGTAAAAATGAAAATGGACAAATACTCTGAGACGGAGGTAGTATTATTTATTTCTTTAAATTTTGGTCTATGATAATGAAATATGGAATATGAATGCATAATAGCTATTTTTCATTAATTATTTTTACATGTTTCTAGTGTCTTGTCATCTTTGTCTTGAAACAACTCTAATTAAAGTACAATAACAAATTGTATTGAAGAGCAATCAAATAGCTTGATCTCCTTCTTTGTATGTAGTACGTACTATCTTGTAATATATTAATTTGATCTGATCAGTTAATCGTAGTTATAATTAAGTTAATTTTTATATGATCTGAGAATAATCAATACGGAGTAAGTAATAAAGTCAGTTGAAGAGAACGTGCTCATAATAGAGCCTTATAAGAGTTTATTTTTTTAAGTTACGGTCACAAATGTGAAATTATTCTTTATTGTACCAACAAAAATGTCACTGGACCAGTAAAGTATGTAATAAAAATAGTAAAATAAATAAATAAAGCATTGCTACTAAATACAAATAGGGACGATGAAGTAAAGCTCCAATGCGTTCTCGGCACAAAGGAAAAAGCTCTTTCAAAGTCCTCTAAAGAACTTAATGAAGAGTCTTTTTAGTGTTAAAATAAAAATAAAAAGTCTTTTTATCCTGAAAATAGCTAGAATTAGTTGAGAAAGATCTATTAGATCAGATCTCAACTTCCCTAGAAATAAGATGCATTCAAATTATAAAAGATATTTTAATTTAAAATCCAAAAAAGTAAGTTTGTGAAATTTGTGAACTATACTTTTGTGACTCTAGCATTTTCCTTTAATTTGTCCTAGACAAAGACCCTTAATTAGCTTATTGGACCCTATTTAGGACAAACAATTTGTTTGCGATGTAACCAAAGGCTTTTTTCCCGGAGAGAATATTTAAATGACTAGAATTATCATTTAAAAGAAGGTCGATGCCTAGTTCCTTTGAGTTTGGAAAGTAGGGTTGTATTGTATAAATGATTCTTAGGCAGCATTTTGTTCAACTTATTTTTTTGCTTGTTATATACTCCATCCGTTCTCAAAAACACTTCCTCTTTCATTTTTTCCACTTTCAACAAAACACTTCCCCTTTCTATTAAAAAACCACTTTTACTCTTACCTTTTCATACCCTACCTATCATACATACTTTTTCTCTAATAATCTATCCATCACATCTTACTTTTACCCATCACATTAGGGGCAAATTTGGAAATCAACTATAATTTAATACTTCCTTATTTTTGCCCCCAAATCAAATGGGAAGGGTTTTTTCAAACGGAGGAAGTACTTATTTTTATTATAATTAGATCAAACTAGATCACATCAAATCAGACCAGAAACAATTTTAACTATAAATGTAATCACATCAGATAAGATCATATCAGATCTTTAAAAAATTAGATGAGATCCAACTTGGTCAATTCTCACATATGGAACCAATTAATCTTGGAATAATCACAAAGTTTCGAATTGGATTATTCTCAATTTCAATAGACAAACCCATAAACTCGAGGTTATCCTGTAACTCGAGCAAATAAAAGAATAAAAGAGGAACAATGGTATTGGGGTCCTTCTCTAAGACTGGGCTAAATTATTTTTTTTTTTTGAAGATTGAATAAAATTGACAATATTCTGGATAATTTCTTTTAATTTAAATCACACTTTTTTCAACCCTTTCGTAGGAGTATTTTGTATGTGTCGATTAATTCAAAAGAGAGTCAACCAATTCACAAGATAAAATGATGACAAAAGTAGCTGAGGGGTAATTTTCTCATCTAATAAAGTGTCACTACTATAAACAAATGTCAAAACACGAGAAAAAGGAAGTTTTTATAATCATCAACTAATTCACCCCCACCGTGTCATGTTGTGCCAATTAAAACACCCCATGTTACCCATTACCGCCTAATGTTTCCATTGACCACAAAATTTGCCATCTCTTAATCACTGATGTGACGCAACACATCATTTTACTCTGAATCATTTTTTTTAACGTATGGTAAAAAAACGATAATCTAACAGCTGCTCACAACCCAAAGTTGATTACTCGGTTTAAGGTTAATTACGGAGATTAAAACATTTAAAGTCACTCCGTGTGCGACCTGTTTAAAGTAAATCTCTGATCCGTTCTAAAAAAAAGATTTCATATTTTGACTATGTGTAAAAATAAAGAAGTATTAAATTATAGTTGACTTCCAATTTTACCCTTGATATGATTGGTAAAAATAAGATGTGATGGATAGCTTACTAGAGAAAAAGTATGATATGATACGTAGGGTATGAAAAAGTAAAGATAAAAGTGGTTTTTTAATAGAAAGTGGAAGTGTTTTATTAGAAGTAGAAAAAATGAAAAAGAAAGTGTTTTTGAGAACGGATGAAGTAATAAACTTCATACATTACATCTTTTTTCATCGTTATAGACCAACTAAGCTATGTCTATGGACAAAAATAGTTTAGTATGATCATCAAGGGAAAACCTAAGTATATATGAAGAATGCGCCAGGATTAACGATGTAAACAAATGCTAAACAGATCGGATGTATCATTATCATATCTACATATATATATTCGTATAAACTATATTTTACAATGAATTTTTACTCGATTGCCATGATTTGATTTGTACGAAATAACCATGTACAAATTATGGAGTACTATTCTCCGTCTCTCAATGAATTACATTATACTATTCTTATTTTACTCAAGTACATGTTTAAGTATATACTCCAAAAATACGGAGTAAATTCTATTTTTATGTCAATTTATAGATAAAATAAACTTAAATGATTCCGAGTACAATACTTTGGAGAATTGCAAGTAGGGAGTATGAATTACTCCCTCCGTTCTCAAAAACTCTTCCTCTCTCATTTTTTTTACTTCCAACAAAACAATTTCACTTTTTATTAAAAAACCACTTTTACCCTTACTTTTTCATACATTTTCTCTAATACTCAATCCATCACATCTTATTTTTACTCATCATATCAAGAGCAAAATTGAAAGTCAACTATAATTTAACACTTCTTTATTTTTACACAAAGCCAAAACAGGAACACTAAATATGATCATACGGAGTATATAAATAGTGACTTCTAGCTATTAAAGACAAACAGCCAAACAAGGGAGAGTGGGCCATGCGGCATTGATGTATACAAGTCCGTAATCCGTATGATGATTGTAGTACGTGGAAGATGATGTTAAGCTTCTCCGTATGTAAAACGAGTATATAAGTACCAACTAATTTCTCCATCCACTAACACTCGTCCTTTTAAAACACTTACGTTGCTCAAAATGTAAAATTGACATTTCCTATTTTCTCTTGAAATCCTCCACCCCACCCCACTTCAGCCTCCCATTTTGCCCTTCAAAATGTTTGGTTATTATACAATGCACACATTTGAAGGGGCAAAAAGGGTGTTAGGGTGGGGTTGAAATGGAGGTGCGGTGGTGGGTTTAGGGAAAGGATTAAAGAAAAGGCAACTATCAATTTTTTGTGAACATAGCACGGAGGTATTTCAAATTGACGAGTGTCATCCGTGACATTAGTCACAATTTTATAATTAACCTAGTACGAATATTAAGAAAAGTGAGACTATATGATTAAAAGTGGTACAAAAGAAAAATAATAATAATGGTCCCAATTTTTTTCAAAAAAATGAAAAACAAAATTTTTTTAAAACAAAATTTAACCCGGAGAGGAAGAGAGGGAGCGGTGGTATAAAAAAAAATCTGTATGAAATATTAAGGCGTAAGAGAGGAAGTAATAAAATACCCCGGAGTAATGCAATACGTAATAAATAACGCAATAACATCCAACATGGAATTGGAGAGATAACTCATTTATAGAGGCTTACTTAGTTACTTGTGATTAGACTTAACAACTGCATGGATATGGCACGTGCTTTGGGTGATCGACAAATCTTTAAATTCATCTCCCATACATACCTCTATTCCTGAGAAGGTCCCTCAGAATCAACCACATGATTATACTTCCTCCATCCTAAAATTATCTTCCCGTTTGTGTTTACGAGGTTTGACCGACTTTATTTTCAATTCAATTTATTTGTTTGTAGATGTAAAATTAAAAAATAAAATTTATATATTTAAAAACTACATCAAAAGTTCTACAAAACAAGAGGTGACAAGACTATATTATTTTATCAAATAACTAATGAAAATAGGTAAAGAAAGTGATTTAAGTTTGACTATGTGAATAGTGATGGGTGTAATCCACCCAGAACCGGTCAAAGGAAATGTCCAAATGTTTGACCAGAAAGTTGACCGGTATACTTTGGATAGTATACCGGTCAAACCACTTCATCGTCTAGTTCATTCCTCAATCTCAGCTAATCCATCCCTTAGGAACTACCTGGTACGGTTTCTGAGGTTGGAGAGTGTCGGCAGAGAAGAATCCAAAGTGGTTTGGACCGTAGCGACCAAGATCAGTGGAGGATTACTGGAGATGTTCGAACATTCCATCCAAGGCGCTACTTGACAAGGGAGTAATCTTCCTCGCAAGATGACAAGGCAGCTAAAGGACGAAGCCCATCACCTCCCACCATCCGAGAACATGCCTCAACGTGGGTGCACGACGTCCTGTCCCCTTCAAACTCAGTATATAAACTCCTGTAAGAGCACTGGTAATGGTTATGAAGCCCCGAGGCTTCAAACCGGGGCTTCAAACTTTCTCTCTCTGCCACGTCAGCTTTAACTTACACCCAAAATTCACTGGAAATGGGTTTGAAGCCCCGGGGCTTCAAAACTGGGCTTCAAACCTTCATTTTTTACATTTTTAAATATACATCTTTTAAAATTAAATTAATAAAATGTAATTAATTTATTATTTAATTAAATTGAAACACGAATAATAAAAAAATAAATTCATTAAATAAAAAAAAGCATCAATAATTTAAAAAAAGATACATTAATAAAAAAACTAAGGTAAATTATATTTCTCCTTGATCTCTCTCATTCTTTGCTCATAGATCATTCGTCCAAACTCCGACAACGTCCCGGGGTCGGTTTGCATGACTTTCATCTCGCCTTCCTGCTCCTTTAGCTTCAACTCCTTCTCCTTTAGCTTCAACCTCTCTTGTTCTTGGAGATTGAACGCCCGAAGTTGTTCAATCATTGCCCGGCCGATTTCGTCGCGGGGAGAAGCAGAAACAGAGGCGGACCCTCCCGAACCAGAGGCAATGGATTTTTCCTTCTTTCTTCCGATCGGCCGTGGAATGGGGTCCTCGTCATCGGAATCCGCAACGTTGAAGGGAGGGATTTGATCGGTAGAACCGATAGTCTCGTCGATCTCAACCTCGGCGTCGACGGTGGATCTTTTCCGCAATGATCCGCCGTCGGGATTGTTGAGTTGTTGCCACTTCGGGGAACGACTCAAAATCCCCCAAAGATCGATGGGCACCTCCTCCTCCGGCGTCCACTTTTGGATTGACCGTGCCGCCTCGGTCAACGTGCTTTTGGCTTTGTGGCTCCTCCGGCGTGTACTTTTTTTCGATCCGGACGGTTCCAGTTGAGTCTCCGGAACCGTCTCTCGGTCGACGTACCCCGATTGTTGCGTCTCGTATATCGGCGGTCGATCGCCCCACTCTTGGTAGAACCACATCGCAGCGTCACTCGGCGGGAGATCGTCGGGAACGAAGCCGGAGCCGGAAGGATTCATGTTGAATAGAAAGAGAGTAATTTCGAATTTTAAAATGGGAAGAAGAAGAGATTGAGAAGAGAAAGTGTGAGAGATTGGGAGGGGGGGTTTGAATTTATAAGAATTTTTTTTTTTAAAATGGGATAAACGGCTATAAAGCCGTTGGGAAGGGGAGGGGTTTCGAATGACGTCGCGTCATTCGTTTGACGCAAGGGCGATCACGCCCGATCACGCCCGGAGGGGGGCGGTGTTTCACGCCGGCGGGGCGTTAAACGCCCCCTCACGCCGTGGGGCGTTGCTGGTATTACCAGTGCTCTAACCCTCAGAGGAAGGGATCCGAATTCATTCTCTCTAAAATCCCTTGTAAAAGCTCCCGTGTATTCTCCTGTATTTATAATATCAATTGGACTACAGGTGTTTCCACCTACAGTCCTCCCGGTCATTTGTGTGTTTTTACCTCTTTTCTTTCCGAATCAATAGACCCGGTCTAGTATAGTTTACCCGATTAGGTAATTTACATCATCAAATAGTAACTGGGAAGATAGTTTTAGGACGGAGGGAGTATGAGAGAGTATGAGAGAAGATACATTGAGCTTCAATTGCAGATTGACGACATATGTTCAATTCTTAATTAGTATTCAGAGATGCTATTAATTAAACAGATTTAATTAACCTATACTTAATACTTACAGAGATCTTATTCTTAGTATAATTGTCAATACTCGAATTCGGATTTTATCCATTCCTCACTTGTTGCCTTACCAAATAGGCCAGGCAACGCATGGAGTATTTCCTACACGTACATACATGGTGAAGCCACCTCTTAATTAATGAATGATGGTCGATGGACATGCCAAGATCTCTCAAGGTATGTTTTATTGTATATGTATTGTGTATGTATATATATTATGTATTTCATCCGTTCTCAAAAACACTTCTTTTATTTTTTCTACTTCTAACAAAATACATCCACTTTTCATTAAAAAATTACTTTACCTTTATTTTTTCATACCCTTCCTATTACATCATACTCCCTCCGTCCCGCTATATTCGTCCACTTTTGACTTTTGGAACTGTTCATCTAAGCACTTTGATTCATCAAATTCTCTAAATGTGTAAGCCTAAATATAGTCATGTGTGCTCTTGTTTGATTTGTCTTAACATATAGATTATTAATATATAATTTCTATAATTTTTTAATATACAAATTACTCCGTACAAGATAAAATGGATTAAAGAAGTGTATTGGATGGTGTGTAAAAATGAAAGTGGACAAATACTCTAGGACGGAGGTAGGAGGTAGTATTTCTTTCTAACAATCTAGGAATCCTTTTTTGGAATGGATGAAGTATATAGTATAGGGTGTCATGCACAAGTCAAAAATGCATGGGACATTGTATGTACTCCGTAAATCATACGTACATATTCCACGTCAGTATATTTTGTATGGCCGGCATCAGTATGATGGAATGCACTTAACCAGAATCACGTGTTAGTAAATGCTCCCATTAAATAAATTCTCAAAATATTTTTAAATCGGTGGGCATTGCGCAGTTGGCAAAGACAATGAGTGTCAAGAAGGTAAGATTTGAATCTGATTCCTATTTAATGATAACTGCTTTGAGAGATAAATATGATAAGCTCATAAGCATATATTCTCTGCAAGTACCAAGTGTCGGCCTCACTCTTTGTTATTTATCTGCGATCAAAATCTAAATCACATTCTCCCATAGACCGTCCGGCCAGTTCCGAGCGGACCCTCGGGGATGGGACTCATCCATTTTTTTAACATAGTTTTAATTTTCTCCAAAAAAGGAGTTGGAGTCACATTTAAAATAAAATTGTTTTTTCTTAAATTAAAAAGATGTTTCAACCGAAAACAAGTTGCTTTATATTTAGTGTCTTGAATTTAATTACTACTAATTTCTCCTTCCCGTAAAAGTTTTGAAATACAAAAAAGACGTTCCCTAAAAATATGTAATTTTGATATATATTTCTAATGAGGTAGAATATGATGTGTATGATAAATGAGCCATTATTAGAGAATGCTATCAAAATTATTTATTGTTAAGATGTAAATCTTTTTGACTTTGAAATTTTTTTATTGGAGGAAGGATGTAATAAGTAAATTTAAGAAGCATATTTAAAATCACACACTTGTTAGGATACGTGCTATATTTGGCTCAATTTATTAGCATGCTAGTTTTTAGAATGCTTCTCTATAAATGTCAATTAATGTCTGTGGCATAACTTAGTCAATTAATGTCCGGGTTCGACCTCTAGCGTGAACAAAATGACGACCATGTGTAGCATAAGATATTTTCTTGTGCATATCACTTACATATATCACATTATACATCACATTCTAAGATTAAACTTCAATTAACCTAGTTGTATACTAGTGTATACTAGTGTGTGTCTCGCAACATAATGCTCATTTACAACTTACTCCAATCATATACATGCCCTCATATCTCTCATAAATTAAACATGGAAAGACATAAGACTGATGCATTATTTGATGCTACCTTTTCAAAAAGGAAAAAAGATGCACTCTAAAACTATACAATTTTGATATTATTTTCTAATTTTGCACGTATTTTAGTAGTATATGATGTGTATGATAGATTAGTCATAATTAAAAAATAATATCAAAATAACCCATTTTTAGGATACGCCTTTTTTCATTTTTGAAATTTTTATGGGACGGAACTCACGGAAGTACTTCTCTGTGTCTGGGTCTAATTTAATTTTCCTCATTTTAAAGAGGTTGACTATGAGGTGAATTCGTCCAAAAGATCTTTATTGAAAAAGTGGGAGTAGGTAGGTTGTCAGAAATTTTTAATGAAGATGGGGATATTTTTGTCCAAACATAATGTGTGTATGAGAAATGAGAAGATTGAAACATGACGGATTGATGGAGAAAAATAAAAATATTAAGTTTGAGGACGGAGGGAGTAATATTTATGCATATCTATGAGAAAATGAGAGAATGGGGCCCTCATGGTTGAGGTTTCAACCTTTGGTAGACAAAGTACGTACAAATTAAGCATTGGGGAGTTGGCAAAATGATACTTTCAGAAAGCAACATTAACTTATTAGGTGTCGTCAAAGGAATGATGTCTGGAGAGAATATTATAAAGACACATGACCAAAAATAATTTTAAAAAAAAGTTAGATGCAATAATCATTCACGCGGAAACATATATAGCAATCAACATGTAAACATTTTTAAGAAAAAGATGAACTCCATCTTTTAGATCCTAAGATCGATCGGTTAGATATTTATTTGGGAGGAAATTGGATAAATTAAGATTTAATTTCAATTATAAAGATTGGTTCTTTTCAATCTAGCATATAGGTTTTAAAGAGAAGCTAGGGAAACAAGCTAGTTTCGTGATTAAAGCTAAAACACAATCATTCTCAAAGTAATATTTGTGAGAGTACATAATTGGTGGAGATTCCACCTTTTATTAGTGAGATTGTTAACAAAAATGAATTTATTCTTTGGGAAATATATATTCATGATTCAATGCCATCGGACTCAGATTGATCCAATGGGTTATGACTTTAGTTTTAAAAATGTTTAAATTCATTTTAACACATGCATTTCGCATTAAATAAAACCAGAAGCAGTCTTATTTAGTTTTTAAATGCATTTTTAGATTTTTTTTAGTGCAACAACACAATATATTTTTTTAAAGAACAAAATAGAAAGTAGTACAGTATTTTATTTCAAGAACAATTGGAGAGTTTGTACAAAAGAATAATGATAACATTTTAAAAAAATTGTATAAAAGTTTACTTTGCACAAAGTATATATAATTTTTATAGTACTTTTATATTTACAATTACAAAAATGAAATGTCAGAGTAGCTCTAAGACGACATTAGAATTTACTATTTAATTTAATGGGCAATTATTAGAATTTTGAACAGATGGCCTCTTGACGGAAATATCCTCAAATATGCAAGATCACAAAAAATATTACTTTGTGGGGTAGAATAAACGTGAAAAATATTCTTACGTACTCCGTATAAAGAATCATTTATGAAATTTAGTCTAAGAGGTATTCAAAATATCAATTCGTAATCGGGTCATTACTAAGAGTAAAAAAAACTCCATCACAACTTGTTGCTTTCTATTTTCTTTTTTGTCCAATGGGCGTAAGAACCACCTTTTCACCACAATGCTTAAGGCCTAAAGCAATTGATGAAGAAACCCACATACAAACATGGGCCATTGTATTATTATAATAGACAAAACAAGAATGGCTCCGGTTGGCAAAAAGTTAATCAATCCATCAAAACTAAACTAGAAAAATTTAAGAAACACGAAAGCCAGTGAAATCTTACAAAAGTAAGGTCTAGAACTTCATATTAACTTTGAAGTAGAGATACTGTTTACAAGAGCACAGACAAAATAAACCAACAAAGACACAAAAGCACGAACAAAATAACAAAGGGGAGAGAAGCATACTTAGAGCATCTCCAACCCGTCTTCTATGTGTTGGTCTTCAAATGCTATATTAGTTTCTCAATAGTGCTTTAACAACACACTTTTTTACACACTCCAGCATATCATCTATATACTCTTTTTTTAAAGAAAAAAAAAGTATAAATGTGAAACTTTTAAATGAGATGCTCTAAGGCCATAGTAAGCGAGGTACGAAGCACGCAACCCCAACACTAACAACTAGACTCAAAGCACATAAAGCACGATTAGACTAGCAAACTTTACTAATCACAGATCACTTAGCATTCCAATATGAAGCCCAAGGGTATACTCAACTATCTTAGTCATAGATTTCCAAGTGTTCCTAACACACAAGTGAGACTTTTTGGGAAACGAGCAAATGCCTAGAAAAAAAGATTATATCATACTAATGTAAACTGATGTCTTCTATTTCGATGTATTAGATAATTAACTCTTAATCTAAACTGACTTTTAAATGTAGAGTGGAACATTCCTCTTCTCTAACTCTCATGTATGAATATCTAGATATGGCAATAGGTTATGACACTTATTTGAATAGATGGCCATGGATTGTCTCTCTAAGAATCTATGTTAGAATTTGGATCCCAGTTTGCTTTGAAGGTTTATATGGGGTGATATGATTTGCATGACTGGAATTATCAGCAAAGTCATACAACTCAATGTCACCCTAGTAATATGTAAAGTACAACAGACACTTTTTAGTATCAAAAGGGTGTGGCTGGTAATTAATTATAGACTAATGTGATGCATTTTGGGTTTTATAAGAGAAGCAAACATAATTAGAAGTTATAACTTGAGTTTACAACAGATGATGATTTTAATAAAATTCATTCAAATAAAGTGCAAATAAAGCAATAAATCATGTACGTAAAATTCGGTATGTAATATATATATATATATATATATATATATATATATATATATATATATAAAATATAAGCTATTCCGCTAAGACCTTGATGCATTGTTGCAATTAGTGTCCAAAACACTGAATTAAGAAATAACCAAGCAAATTATAGTTTGAACAAACAAAAACTAACAAAATAATTATGCTAGTCTTATGTATACTACTCTGTATAAAAAAGTCTAGGCAAAAAAGGGCGCAAGCCGCAAGCCTTCCTATTGCTGCCTTGCTGGTTTTGAGTATAGCCTTGGCTCTTGCATATCCAGCAATGAAATAGGTCAATTTATCTCTAAATCAAATCTTGAAACTAAATAATCTTCGACTTGAATGGAGAGTTGAACTATTACAATAAAACATTGCCTTTACCACTTCTGCTTTGTTTCTTAATACAGTCAAGATTGATGCAAAACTAATACTGGGCTACCCTAAATGCAATATCTAAAACTTCCACAATTATTCTATTTATGTATTCAAATATACAGAGTACATTTTTTTAACAATTTTAAGAGAACTAATCAAATTCGGCCATTTCGTCCGCACAAATTTCAACATATAGAACCATTTCAGCAATGTAAACCTTTACCATACAGGCTCGTAAGCTACAAATGTTGAAGCAAAGGAAGCCCAAAAACTTCCATCCAGTATCTCGTATATGGACATTTTTTCAAACCAATGGAGACACAAAGATGATGTGATGTCTAAGGGATAGATGTACAGTCTAAAGATGAAAAATGAAACACAATGTGTGAGAAAAGAATCAATCTCCATAGATAAACACACACCTTATGTCCAGATAAGAGCAAGGAGGACAAAGATCCCAATCAGTGCGAACATCACCGATGCCTTGAAGGCAGTATCAGCTTGCTGTTGCTGATATGTGCGCCGAAGAAACCCATGACCCGGAACACCGTGAAACGCGTTTGGGTATCCATATGGGTGAGCAGCAACTCCCCCATACATAGCAGCGTCAGGGAAAGCATTCACTTGAATGTTGAAAGATGGGATTAGACCACCAAAAGCTGCCGAGAGAGCAAAGTTCCCAAACAAAGAAGGAATGAGACCACCAAATGCAGTAGAGAGTCCAAAGTTGCCAATCCTTGCAGCTCCCATCGGAGCAAAGCCACCAAACCCGCCAGGAAACCCAAAGCCATGAGGTGGAAAAGCATTTGGTTGTGGTGGTGGTGGTGGAGGAGCAGTTTCAGGCCTCTGTCCGGCAGGGCGATGAGGAATCTCCATCCCTGGAATCGACTTAGACCTAGGATCAGCGGAGTTCTTCCCCCTACCATACAATGGCACCAACTTGTCTTCCTCAATAAGCGCCTTGCACACAGGGCATTCGCTCGACTGGGAATGCACGTGCAGCCATTTGTAAATGCAAGGCCAGCAGAACAGGTGACCACAGAGTGTAACGATCGGGTCTTGCGCTAAATCTAAGCAAATGTTGCACTCGAAATTCGCGGCATCACCTCCACCATTGGAGGATGACGAGCTCGATGACGTCCTACTGTTAGTCGCTCCCCCAACCCCGCTAGCCATGCCTAAACCTCTCTCAGAAACCCTAATAATTAAATATTTCTTAATTGAAGAAGCAGATATAATCATCAAACAACCCCAAACATCTCATACAACTCCATAAAATCGATTAAGCATCAATGATTATAGAGAAAACGTGGAGACTAAGAGCGATTACCGTAATTGAATTCGAAGGAGCGATCAAGGGATCGAGAAATCGATCGATCGAGCAGCTGGAGGATTGACTGGTCCGATTCGATGAAGCGATCGACGGGAAAGTAGCCACCGCCGGCGCAAAAAACAAGAGAGGGGTGGAATCCTTCCGGCGATTACTACTGTTCTCTGCAAATTGCAATGCAATGGAATTCCTTCAACAATATGTTCATCTAATCGGATACGAAATACTCCGTATATGGGAACACGGGCCAGGCCCAAATGCAGTGTCTGGAGCTTTCCAGAATCATCGGTTTACTTCTCCTGCCCAATTGATCCAAACGTATGATTCATGAAACTCTTTTTGGGTTTGTTTGGGAACATGGATTTGGATTTCAAATCCGGATTTGGCTTAAATTCCATGTTTGGAAAACTTAAGCATTTTGAATTTGGATTTGAATCAAATTCTTTATATTCAAAACCAAGCTTAATTTGAAATCCATGCACCTCTCCTTGTCATTTGAA